GGCTTTTTTGATCGATAAACTTTTCACAAACTTGTCAATGTGAAAGGACGCAGGCTGTTGATTATTAAGAGCTAAAAAAATAAAGGCAACAACTACCCACAAACGATGAAAATGAATAAGTCTGCCAAGATTATCACATACATTTATATTTTATCGAATGAACAAAATATTATAAACAATCATATTCAAAATTATTCTCTATTTGTACTTATGTACACGTTGTTTCATTAACATTGAAAAAGTACAATTATGATCTGAACTTGAAAAACATTGAATCTACCTCTCATCAAATGACATATGTTGATAATTTACATCATAGACTAAAAATTACAAATATACTATTTACAAAATTATATTACATTCTGTACATGCGAATATTGTACATTTTTTGGCAACATTTACTTTTTTTATTACTTAAAATGGATAGTCAGTAATTTTTACAGTTTAATTCGATTCATAGGGTTATTTTCTTCTTTTTTTTCTAAACTTTGGTCTCAAAATTTGATATAGAGATAGGAGGGGATACTCTAACTGGACTTGATCATGAACATATTTTTTCATTTCTTGAAAACTTCGACAAAATTAGGCTAATGCATGAAGCCAAATTTATTTTTAAGTAGGAAACCTGATCCTAAAGATGTAAATGTTCGTATTGAGCCATGGAAACACATTTTTGGCAAAAGCATTCAATGAGTAATGAATGAAGTAAAAGTACAGCAGTCCGCTACTTTTATATTCCAAGAATTCGCATATCATGAACATCAGAACGTTTTGCTCCAGAGTGCAAAGAAGTGAATTTTTGTAGATTTTTTACTTTTTTATTAATCCCATTGATTTTTCCAACGAGCTCCCACATCAAGATGATTCGTTCTTTGACTTTCAATTGTTATTCTCTTTAAAATTAATTTTCTGGTTTTTTTTTTAAAATTTTAATCAGCAAACAAAATTCTTGAGACTAAACTGGAATTCAATGACGAGGACAGCTGACCTACTGCAGCAGTTGTATTTCACTATAACTTATTTGCCATATATCTAATGCCATCATAATTTAATTCATCCGTCAGAGAGAAAATGCACCAAGAAAAAAATTCGTTTGACGATTCTCTGTTGAGGAAATTAAGTATTTGTAGATCAACTGACACAGTGCAGACATGATACGTTCCTTCATACAGAAGACGACATATTGAACCAAGTAGACAGGCTAACTGATAAAGATGTTTTTGATATTGATGGCAAAAAAGCATTTGTTCTTGTCACAAGTCAAGTTTTATAAAGGTTTATTACGTTATTGGACCTTTTCTTGAGGTTGAATGTAAATAAAAACTTTACGAATTAATTGTGAGATTGGCGCACAATAGTGATTACAGAACTTGCCAGTTGCTACGTACGGGGCATTATTATAACACATACGCAGGGATTAGTCCAATAGTCCAGTCTTATGAGTAGTGAGATCTTGTTCTGTTCTTAAAGTTCGCCTTGTCTGTTGTTTGTGATATCTGTAACATTTTAAGTGGTTGATCAACATAGTGTTATGTACCAAAAATCACAGAAGTTCAGTCCATCCATTTCCAATTATAAATAACGGTCTCTTGCTTGAAATAAATAGAAAGAAAATTTCAACAACCCATTTTATGCAGTGTTAATTTCTTAATGTGCTGTTTGAACTTTGAATTTTAAACTGTAACCTAAACTTAAAAGCAAACCTGTGGCATCTTACGCAACATTTTATCTCTAAAATTAACAGAGCAAGTTATGTTTTTTTTTTTTTTTTTTTTAAATCAGTGGATAAGATTTTGCTGCATGGAGGGTAAAAACAAGAACATAACTTTGAAAATGGGGAGCCATTTTTCATAACTT